GGGGGGGGGGCACAGCAAGGAGACAGCCCAGGGAGGGCTGTGGCTCCCCTCATTCCTCCACAGCAAGCGCTTCCGTGGCACCAGGGTGACCTGGCACCCGCCAGACCTGTCAGCCCAGGGCAGGGAGTGGGTGACTAAGGCTAATCTCCGGAGCACATGAGCCCTGGGGTGGTAGGACATGACATCTGCCGAAGCCTGTTTGCAGAGGCCACCTGCTGCCCCCAGGGCCTACAGGTAGCTGCCGCCTGGCTAGAAGTGGGCCAGTCCAGGCGTGGCCTTCAGCACGCGTGCTGGTGTGAGGCCACCACAGCATGGGTGTTAGCACCCTCTGCCCCGCCTCGAAGAGCCCCAGCCCAGCAATTAACCCCGCACTTGCCAGAGGTTGGCCTTAGTCACCAAGGGAGGCCACCAGCCCTCAGTCAGCTGGGCCCAGGCTGTCTGGGGCCTTGACTCGCAGGGTCAGAGGAGGAAATGGCTTCAGAGGAAGGGTCTTCTCATCCTTGTTGCTCACCATTTCCAGAGTCCCCACTATCCTATCCTGCAGTACAAATAGCCCTTCTGAGTCAAGCAGGGGGATTGATTTGGTGGGTTGGTTTCTGACACCCCAGCCCCACCCTTCAACCTCAGCTCGCACTGTTGGCCTGCCTGAGGCTCTCGTCTGGCTGATAGGTCCCAGGATCAGCAGGGGGTCTGTGGCTTTCTCAGCCCTAGGTCCTGCCCCTTCCCCCCTATGTGAGGCAGCTCTTCTCTCTTAATTAAATCTCTCAGGCAGCCTCCAAGGAATGTCGAGCTTATTGCATTTCTGGGAGGAGTCTTGGTGGGGTGGGGGCTTCCCCAACCTCTGAGAACTGGCCCCTGGCCTAATACCCCCCCCACCAACCAGAGGTGGCCTGAGGGAGCTGCCTCCAGCCTCCTCACACCCAGGGTGGCAGGAATGAGGAAAAGCAAGTGGGGGAGGCTGCCGACTCACTCTGGAATGTGGACGCTGATAGAAGGAGTCTGCCGCCCCTCCCCACGCACACGTCTCCCTGCAGCACCCCTGCCCCCAAGCATGGACTGTTCCAGTCACGCGCACAGTGCAGACACACACCCACACCAGACACACACACACCCGGCAAAAAAAAAAAGGAAAAAGACACCCACCCACCCGCAAATTCCAGAGCCGTGAGGGGAGCTTTTTCTTGGCAGCACAGAGCCCGGACTCCCCAGTGCAGGGGAGATGACCCCCAGAGGGGTTGGGGGACTCCCGAAGGGATCACCCATCCAGTTAGGTCTCTAGCCTCGATCTCCTTGGTGCCCAGGGCCTGCCAGTAGTCAAGCCTGCCTCTGATGGCTGAAGCCTATGGTCACACTGAGGACCTTTGGGGAGCACTGCCCCCAGGACCACTGTGCCTACTTTCCTGCCTTCAGTGATTTCTGGCCCCCCTCTGGTGGGGGGGGGTGTCCACATCTCAGTCCCTAGAAGGAAGGAATCCTTGAGCTGTGCCTTGCCACTGCTCTCCCAACTCAGTGGGTAGGGTGTCCACGAGCGGTGTGAGGAGCTGAGACCACTGCTACTCAAGGCGTCTCCTTGGGGAGAGGGATAGTCTGGGCAGGGTTTCCGGTGTGTGGGTGCTGACCGCCCATTGCCATGTCTCAGGTCTAGAGAGTTCAATGCCTTGACCAAAGGTCCTGGGGTCGCCATGTCCCCACCTATCCCCATCAGCCGGACCACTCTGATGCTCTGGACAGGCAAGCGAGCTTGTGGGTGCCCATCCTCCCTCCCTGGGGAGGCCAGACCCCAGCTGGATGGCCTCCAGCTGGACTGCTCATTAACAGAGTCCTCTTCCTGCCACGGACACTGTGTTTACAGAGAGCTCCGGGATGAGCCCTCCAGGGAAGCAGGGGACAGCTCTCCAGCCCCCAGGGCCTCGCCATCAGCCCAGCCCACAATGGGCCTTACTGACCACTCCCCCGACTCCAAAAGGGCCACTCATGGGAGAGGGCCACCAGTCCAGCACACACACACACACACACACACACAACCCTCCCCTTGCTACCATGCCCAGTGTCAGGCTAAGTCCAACCTCCCTGGTGGGAAGGGACCCCTGAGCATTAGGTCATACCCCCAACCCAGGTGGTCCTGGGCCTGGGGAGAGGGCTCTGGACCCTACTCATAGAGCACTGATAAGCAGGGGTCCACCTAGACCCTCAGACCCTCTTCCTACTTTCTACCCTGTAGGTCCCCAGGGGCAGCTGGTCAGCAACCCTGGTGTGGTAATCACTTGTGAGCGGGGGCAAGGCAGAATAGCTGGCACCAGTCAGCTGGCTTTTCAGTGGCCACTGCTAGACCTCAGCAGCCCTCAGGCCCAGGACAGCCAGCCCAGGGACACAAAGAACTAAGCTGGCCCTGGTCCACTGGCTTCGTGGCCCCAAGCAAAGCCCCTTCTGTCCCTGGCACCCTAATACCTGAAACACTCGAGGAGCCACCAACCTGCCAAGGCCTCTGCCCCTCATCAGTAGGTGGGCATCAGATATCTGGCAGCTGCTAACTACCAAGTCTGGGCTGCTGCATCCCCCAGCGAGACCGATGGTGGCCCCAGACTGCGGGGAATGGCAGAGACCCTCAGATCCCCTCGACATTCTGCTGGGGGACATGGAGGTCCTGGGGGCTCAGCCAGCCTGATGGACCCCAGGGGGCTAAAGTAACCCTAGTCTCCGCTGGGCCAGCCCCCTCGAAGGGGTTTGATTCATAAAATTGGCCCTGCCGGAGGGCTCCGCAGTGGGCGGAGGGAGCGCGGGAGGGGCTGTTTATTTTGTCTGCTCGCCGCCGCGCCGGCCGGTGAGCCATGTCCACTCGAGCGCGTGCGCGCGCCCCGGCCGCGACAGGCAAGGAGGGGGCGCGTTACAGGTGGTCCAGCGGCCGGAGGCTGCGTTGCCCGCCCGTGTGTGCGCGCGAGCAGGGGGGTGGGGATGCCGCGGGTGCAAGGAGTGTCCCCCCGCCGGCCGGCGCTTAGTCCCCCAAACACTCACCAGAAGATGGTGGAGACGGAGGGAGCGGGGCAAAGCGAGCCGAACTCGGTCTTGCCCGGCCGGCAGGACCCGGTGGGTCTTGGGTCCCGGGGTCCCAAGACGTCCGCGTCTGCGTCTCCGTCTCTCCGCCCCGGGCTCGGGCTCCGACTCCGGCTCCTACTCGGCTGGGGGGGGCGGGGCGCGCCTTAAGGACTGGGGGCGGGGCAGGGGAGGAGCCAACCGGACCCGCCCTCCCCGGCCCAGAAGCGGTCATTTGGCCGCCGCCGGCCAGGTCTTTGCCCCTTCCCCCTCCAGACGGGGCGGGAGAGATTGGCCAGCCTCGGAATTTAATCGCTCGATTCAGGAGTCCCGGGTTCCAGTCCGGCCTGCCTTTGGGCAAGTCCCTGTTGTTTTTTTGCAAGAGACTATTGAGCAAGCTCCAGTCACAACCCCAGCTGCAGTGAAGTACCTGCCATAAAAGGCCGCAGGGGGCCCACGTGTTTCCAAAGACCCTGGAAACCTGGTTCTAGGTGAAAACAATCAAGGTGGTAGTTCAGAAACGTAATTACAACAGCCCTATGTGGGCTGCTAACGGTAAGGTCAGATTCAAAATCACCAGCACGGGGGAGAAAGACGGTGCTTCTGTAAAGAGTTACACTCTCGGAAACCCACAAGGGCAGTTCTACCCTGTCCTATATGGTCACCATGAGTCAGGACCCACTGGATGGCAGTGTTTGGAGTGGATTTGTTTCTTTGTTTTGCGATGTAGGCCCCACACAGCCCTTTCCAGAGCCTTCTAAAGCAAAATTGAAAAGTCTGGACCCCCATGCCCCCCACTTTCCCCCCACACCTGGGTTTCCCATGAAGGGACAGAGGTGCAGCCAGAGGAAGTGGCTGGCCCCCTGTCTAAGGCCCCAGTTACTGCTACTTCAAGTCCAGGGTGGGAGTTGGGGGCACTGCATTGCAGCTGTCAATGGCCTTTGGCCGGGCACGAGGGGGCGGGGGCAGGGGCCAGGGTTGGACCTGTCTAGAAAAATCCCCTGCTTTGCAAGATTCCAGGAAAATGCCCTGCATCCCCCCCCACCTCCACTCCGAGCTTGTGGCTAGCGTCATGCCCCTGAGCCTCTGGGGGCTCACCCCAGATCCCCAACTTGGACAGTCACCAGGGGTCCTGCCACTGGCCTGGGGCTTGGCCCTGTCCGGAGCACTTCCCTGCAGAAGGCAGACCGGCCTCTGCAATCAGTCAGTCAGGGCTGGGCAGCCTCCTCCTGGTCTTCCTTTCTCTGCTCTTCCACTTGCTTAGGGCCTCTCTCCAGGACAGGCAGGGGCCCCTACAAGCCTGCCCCTGGGCTTGTCTGAGTACAATACATGGAGGGCAGGGCTGGCTTGCCAGCTGCTGCTGGGCCAGAACTCCCAGCCCTCCGGAGTTGCCTTTGGCCTGCCCAGGAGTGTTAGAAATCTCGGAAGAAGTTGACAGCCTTTAAAAATTTGGTGGCCCCATGTAGCAATGGGGGGGGGGGGGTGTCCAGGTCCCCTTGACAGGAGCACTTGTTCAGGGCTGCATTCCCACTGCCTCCTCCAAGCCAACTCGCTGCAGACCCCACCACGCTGTTGCCTCACACCAGGCAGCCTCACTTAGTGACACTTCCTGTTTCCTACCTGGACCAGGAAGCATTGCAGTTGGCATTGTGCTTTAGGGCTTTGGGTCAGACTGTCCCTGTGCTGTTGCCCTGGTGTGGGGGATGGGAGTGGGCTCCCAGAACTGTCAGCTGGACTTTCCCCAAGGAACAAGACTTCTTGACTAGGCTACGCAGCCCCCACGACTTGGGCACCCATTCCTACCAATGGAAAGACCTTCCTTTCAGAGCCCAGACCCCACCTCTGGGACTGTCTCAGGCCATACTTCCACCCATCCAGAGGTTCAAAGGCAGGTCCCCAGGAGGCCCCTCCCCGCTTTGGTTTCCAGACACTGCCCCTGTCCCCTTGGGACCTGGTCATCTGGAACCTGGTGGGGGGGAGAAGTACAGAGCTGGGCTGACAGGCCAGGGAGAGACCCAAGGGAGCAGCAGCAATGGGGTCTCTCGGTTGGTGGGCCCCAGTGGTAGACATGGACTGAAGGCAGGGCCAGGAGGAGTCTTGAAGCCACTTTTCATAGTCAGCAGACTGTTGGCCGGAGTGTGGGGTGAGCTGGTGGGGAATGTCAGGGCACACCATATCCTTGGACTCTCTGGGTAGCATAAAAGGTAAAGCAACTGATGACACTAGAAAGATTGGTGGTTAGAACCCATCCTGGGGCACCACGGAAGAAAGGCCTGGCAGTCTCTTCTGCACAGTTGCCGTCACCTTGAGTCGGAATCAGCTGGACAACAAGTAACAGTGGGCTCACTTAGCACCAACACTAGATGTGGGCCAAGGGGTGAGGGGTCCCTGAGCCATGGACTCCTGGCTAAGAGCCCTCACCAGTGGCAGACCCAGGCACCACCTCCCCTAGAACCATGGTAGCAGGTGTGGTGGTTTCACAGCTTCACCACCTCCCGCCAGGCCTGTACCTCATCCTGCATTCCTGAGGCAGGCTGAACTGGCTCTCTTTACCAGGCCTGGGGTCAGGCCCGTGCCAGCTGTTGACCAGTCCTACGGCCAGGTGCCCTGACCTTATTTCCTGACCTGTGCCATGGCAGGCAGGATGCTCCTGCTGGCGGAGCTGCCCAGACGGCTCTGCCCAGGGCTTGGACTGGCCTGACCTGTCTGAGGAGCTGGCCCTCCCCGCCCCAACTTCCTGCTTCTGCACAACCAGTGCCTGAGTCAGTGGGCCAGGGAAGCTGAGGGTGGGGCTGAGGGAGCCCAGGGCAGCCCTCTGTGGGTATCAGCATGGTGTCAAGGTTGGGACCCAAAGGCTTATCCCTAGGTCTCCCCCAATCTGGGACTGCTGACAGTACTCCCCATCCTTCACATCCCAGCCTCTGCCTTTGTTTGCTCTCCCCCACTGCCCACCTCCACACTGCAGCCGGGTTGGTCTCTGCTCAGCGCAGGTTTGACCATCCCTCATCTTCTCCTGCCTCCGCACCAGGCTCCCACTTTTGTTGCCAGGCCAATCAGCTGTGTCTTCTCCCTGCTTCTCCGATGGGGTATGCAGCACCTGCCAGCTGCAGGACCTTTACATGTGCTATCCCCCCCCCCAGGGGGTGCTCTCGCTGTGGCTGCTTCCACCTTACACTGCGGCTCACAGGCTCATCTCCACCATGACCCAGCCCCAGTCAGGCCCAGTGCCAGATGTCCGGGACTGGCAGTCTGTCTGCCCCTTGTGCCCGCTGCGAGCTCCCTGACAGGAGTGACTGTTGGCTGTCTTTCACTCACCCTGAGTCGTGTGGGCTGGCTGAGCTGAGGACCTGTCCCAGAGCAGCCCTTCAAGGAAGTAAATGATGATGGGTGGGAGCAGTCATGGTGTGAGGGGCACCCCAGGTCTAACACCCCGTTGTCCTTCCCCCTGTCTTGGGCAGTGGTCACAGAGCTGTGGAGGGGCAGTGGTGGCCTGAGGTCAATAGGGGCCTATGTTTCTCAAAGGTGACCTGCACAGGGCACTCCTGGAAGTTGTGGAGACACAGGGTCCCCACCCAGCCTCCTGGCCTTCTGGACCCTGGAGGGTCGGGGGCAGGCAGCCTGTAGACTGCGGGAAGCTTGCCAGGAGGAGGCTGCAGGTGAGCGGCTGGCCCTTTGTGGCCAAGGTGAGGGAGAGAGGCAGCTGCCATAGCTGGGTGTCCACTGATCTCTGACACCACAGCAGGGACAGACTCAGAGGGAGATTGTCGAGGTTGGGAGCAGGCCCAAAGGTTTCCAGGGACATGGAACGTAGATGAAGAGCAAGGAACAGAATTTGGCAGAGATGGCTGTGAGAAGGACCACATGGCCTAGGGCCAAGGCGGGGCCAGCTACATCCTGGACTGAGACCAGGGGCTCTCAGGGTACCTGCCCCCACATGGCCCCAGCAGCCATCCCCCTCCTGTCAAGGTCCTGTCCCCTCCTTGGGGACAAAAATGGACGGGGTGGTGGTGGGGGGGTATAAACAGCCAGGGAGCCCCGGTCTGTACTGTCAGGCACCTGACTCAGGTGGGCCCAGGGTCTCAAAGTCCAGCTGCAGTAAATGTGACCCCTTAAGATATCCCCAAGGCCCAAGGGGCTGGCTGAGCAGATACCCAAGACACCAACCAGCGTATTGGGGGGCTCCCATGGAAGGCAGCCCTGGGAGGGGGCATCCATGATGCAACCATGTAAACAATGTCTGGGTTGGCGGAGGTGGAGACCAGGCACAGAATGCATGTGGGGTCTTTGTGGAGGAGGGGCACTGGGGTGGCAGGGTGGAGCCCTCGTGTCAGGACCCGGCACAGGCTGGCGGGCCAGGAGGGAGAGGGTGAGAAAGGCCAGGGCAAGAAGCTATTTGGCACATTTAAGCTCAGGGAAAAGAGGGGTGCTGCCTACAGGTAAGGGTCGAAGTGCTCCTGCTCACAGTGCGCCTTCCCTGGGATCCCCTCCCCATGGGCGGCTGCAGCATCGGCCACTGATCTGTCTCTCCAGGCCCTTGATTCCACTGTTGGACCCAGACTCCGGGCTCCTCGTCCTGGCAGGAAAGGTAAGCAAATAGTTGGAGCTCCCACCTGCCCAGGTCCCAGAGTCCAGACCCAGCTTACAGGCCAGGAAGTGAGAGCCAAGGAGACCGACTCCTTCGGAGAGAAGGGGCAGGGGTGACTTGAACCCCTGTAAGCAGCATCGCGAGGACAAGGCAGAAGGTGGATACCGCGTGGCCCAAAGGGTGTGCTCAGCACATCCTGAATGCATAGCCCTGGTGGTGCTGCAGGTTAGGCATTTTGCGGCTAGCCATAGGTCAGTGGTTCAAACCCATCAGCTGCTCTAGGGTAGAGCAATGAGGCTGTCTGCTCATATAAAAATTTGTAGTCCCTAGAGCCCTCTTTAGGGTCATTGTATGTCTGAATTGACTGGGTGGCAGTGGGTATCTCAGGGTACAGTCCCACAACAGTGGAGTCAGATGGACAAAATCCCAGCTCAAAGAGTCGCATGGAGCCATCTCCATCAATGACCGCCATTGTTCTGGGTTCAGGCCCTTGGGGGCCGTGAGACCCCGCACAGTCCAGGCGGGCTGGTGGGTGCTGTCCACAGTGGGACTCAGGTCTGGCTTGTTCCAGGGTGAGAGCCAGCTGTTCTGCTATGAGGTGGCCACACTGCAGCCAGCACTCAAGCCTGGTAAGTCTCCACCATCCACCTGCCCCTCCTCCCCTCCCTTGGCCCTGACTGCTCTCCCAATGGTGTGCCCCCTACCCCAGTGAACCAGTGCATTCTGGAGGGTGCCCTGCGGGGAGCAGCCTTGGTGCCCCGGCTGGCGCTGGCTGTCCTGGACTGTGAGGTACTCCGTGTCCTGCAGCTGAGCGACACAGCCATTGTGCCCATCAGTTACCATGTGCCCCGAAAGGTAGGGGGACTTGGGCTGGGGGCTAGGGAGTCTGGGATGCCAAGGATCTCATGGGCCACTTACCTGTCTGTCTTCCATCCATCAGGCTGTGGAATTCCATGAGGACCTGTTTCCGGACACGGCGGGCTGTGTGCCCGCCTCCGAGCCCCAGGCCTGGTGGGCCGGGAGCAACCAGCAGGTAGGACCCAGACAGCTCCACAAGTAGAAGCCCCCTGACAATGGGGTGGCCATGCCCTTGGGCCCCCCAGGACCCAACAGCCATCCTCTTCCCACAGGTGCAGAGGGTCAGCCTCAACCCAGCTCGCCGGTCCCACCCCAGCTTCACGTCCCCCCTGCTGCCCCCATTGGACTCACCCACTGTCCCCGCCAGGCCCCTGGAGACCATGGTGGAAGATACTGACCCCAGTGTAAGTTCTACCTCATTGCCCAAGGCACGGGGGCCCCTGTCTGGGTGTTAGAGGGCCCTCCTCACCGCTGGCATACCCCCACCCAAAGGCACTCGAGCCAAGCCCTGCCCACAGGTTTCTGCCCATGGGTCATCACCCACCGGGCACAAGGAGCCGCGCACGTGGTCTAAGGAGAGGACTTGTGGCTGCTTTCTAAGGAAGCAACACTCACAGCAGGGACTTTCTGCCTTCTCTGAGACACTGGGAGATCTCAGCCATCAGCTCCCCTCCTGTGGGTCAGGCCCGGCCAGGTCCCATCCAGAGTGGCTGACGGTCTCATAACTCTGCACTGGTCCCCAGGAGGGCTTCTCCTCTCCGCCCAGCTCGCTGGCCTCACCCTCCACGCCCTGCAGCCTGGCCCCCTCTCGCTCCAGCACCAGTGGCATCGGCAGCAGCCCTAGCCAGCGGTCACTGCAGAGCCTGCTAGGTAAGTGGCTGTGACTGCCCCTTCCACCCACAAGACTGTGCTCGACCTGCGATGCCCAGGCCCATCTCCCACCTACGCTCAATTCTGTCCTTCATGGTGGGTGGGGAGGGGGGAGCACTCCAGAACCAGCCCTGTGAGGCTAAAGCATTGGTTCTCAACCTTCCTAATGCTGCAACCCTTTTTTAATACAGTGCCTCATGTTGTGGTGACCCCCCAACCATAAAATTATTTTCGTTGCTACTTCATCAGTGTAATTTGGCTATGAATTGGGCGATCCTGTGAAAGGGTCGCCCAGTGGACTCACAGGTTGAGAACCGCTGGGCTAAAGTGAGGCTGAGGGATTGCAGCCACAAAGTGATCGGAGAAGTCAGTGGTTCCCGAGCTGTGGCCACAGCCGGGCAAGGGTCTGCTCCAGCAGAACGCTGGGTGGGCATCCTCCTACAGGGCCGTGTCCCCTCCCCCACCAGGCCCCAGCTCCAAGTTTCGCCATGCCCAGGGCACCGTCCTGCATCGAGACAGCCACATCACCAACCTTAAGGGGCTGAACCTCACCACGCCCGGCGAGAGCGACGGCTTCTGTGCCAACGGGCAGCGTGTAGCCGTGCCCCTGCTCAGCAGCGGTGGGCAGGTGGCCGTGCTTGAGGTGAGGGCCTGGAGGCAGGCAGCCAGGGGGCCCCCAGCAGCACGTGGGCACCAAGCACCCCCTGTCCCCCATGAGCCAGGCATCCACCCAGACTGTGGTGGGTGTCACTCGGATCCCCATTTTACAGATGAGGGTGCTGAGGCACAGAGAGGCCTAGTGACCTGCCCGAGGTTACACAGCGTGTAAGTGCTGGAGCTGGGACTCAAACCCAGGCCCTCAACATCTTAAGCCTGAGCTCTTTCCACCCTTCCACTCTGCCTTGGCCCTACTTCTGGGGCCTCACAGTTGGCACTTGGGACTCAGAGGCTCAAAGCAAGAGGTGGCTGAGGCGGGGAGCTTGGGACACGGGCTGCTGGAGCCCGGCATGCCACTGCCACTGCTACTGCCACTGCAGCTGGCTGGTCCAGGGGACCGGTGTGCCAGCCTGGTACTGATGGGCTGCGTGGGGGCCCCTCCATAGCTGCAGAGGCCCGGCCGCCTGCCTGACACTGCGCTGCCCACGCTGCAGAATGGAGCAGCTGTGACTGACCTGGCTTGGGACCCCTTTGACCCATACCGCCTGGCCGTGGGTAAGGAGGTGGGTGTGGTGCGCAGCCCCTAGGGCCAGGCCCGCAGCCCTGTGGTGCTGAGCCCCTGTCTTCTGCAGCTGGAGAGGATGCCCGGATCCGCCTATGGCGGGTGCCCCCCGGGGGTTTGGAGGAAGTACTCACCACACCTGAGGCCGTGCTCACCGGTCAGTGGGGAGTGGGGAGGGCAGGGGCCCCCAGGGGTCTGGAGGAGGTTCTCACAGGTCATAGGGGACAGGTGGGGTGGGGTGGGTGCCGCAGGGGCTTTACCTTTACACCTTTACCTGCCCCCAGGCCACATGGAGAAGATCTACTCTCTGCGCTTCCACCCATTGGCGTCCGACGTGCTGGCTTCCTCGTCCTACGACCTCACTGTTCGCATCTGGGACCTGCAGGCTGGCATGGAGCGGCTAAGGCTGCAGGGCCACCAGGACCAGGTAGGTGAACAGTGATAGAGGGTCGAGGGTGGAGGGCCCAGCCCCAGGCAAGAGGCTGCCTCTCATAGCCCTTCTCTCCTCCAGATCTTCGCTCTGGCCTGGAGCCCCAGCGGGCAGCAGCTGGCCACTGTCTGCAAGGATGGGCACGTGCGGGTCTATGAGCCCCGGAGCAGCCCTGAGCCCCTGGAGGTGAGTGTGGGTGGGATGGGAGCAGGCCTCAGACCCAACTTGAGCCTGACATGCTGTCCCCCAAACAGGAAGGCCCAGGGCCTGAGGGGGTTCGTGGAGCCCGTGTTGTCTGGGTGTGTGATGGCCGCTGTCTGCTGGTATCTGGCTTTGACAGGTGAGGGCCCAGAGACCACTATCTCCCCCCCCCTCCCTTGCCTTCAGTGTCTGCCTTCTCCCAACGTCCATCACTGTCCAGCTCGGAGGAGTTTATTGTCCCCATCCCTCATGCGGGTGGGTGGCAGGAAATGGCATGGTGGATGCAGGGATGATGAGTGGGCACAGGGATGGGGGAGGATGGCTGCAGGGTGGGGGTTGGGTAGGTGATGGCTGGATGGAGGGAGGTTGTTGAACAGACAGACTCAGCTCGATGGCATTGGGCTTGGTATTTTGGCCTTGGGGTCTCTGCCCTGCCTGGGCCTCTCATGCTCTAAGGACCTGCTCCTGTCGCCTGCAGCCGCAGCGAACGGCAACTGCTGCTATACTCTGCCAACACTCTGGCGGGGGGCCCCTTGGCCGTGTTGGGCCTGGATGTGGCCCCTTCGACTCTGCTGCCCAGCTATGACCCAGACACAGGCCTGGTGCTCCTCACAGGCAAGGTGGGCTGGGGTTGCACCAGTGGGGCAGGGGCAAGGTGGGCTGGGGCCCGCACCAGTGGGGCAGGGGCAAGGTGGGCTGGGGCCTCAGAGTTAGCCAGCCACCCGTCTTCCCTCTCCTACAGGGCGACACCCGTGTGTTCCTGTATGAGCTGCTCCCTGAGGCCCCTTTCTTTCTGGAGTGCAACAGCTTCACGTCGCCAGACCCCCACAAG